AAATGAAAGTAAACACTTTCTGAAACAAAGAGAGTGTTGCGGTTATGATATGGGTAGAGCTAGACATTTCTGCATTCTTCTGGGCAAATATTTCTCAATTTTTCAGTGCCAGATGAATTTTGTTTTTTAAACTTAAATATTGAGGCATATAGTACAGTTTTATATTCCAGTTTTTGTTAATAAAAGTACAAAATAAAGGACTATACAGAATCTAGTTCTTACAATAGTCTTTCACTGAAGGTTCGGTGGAAGAGTTTATTTTCCCTGAAATTCTAACATATACAAATTTACTATACTTTTCTTGTAGTAGAAGGAGAAAAAAAAACCCAAAACATTCTTTCCCAAAGTAATTTATTGCCACTTTTAAGATTTTCTTATAGTGTGGCTCACGGGTGATGCCATTATCTTTCAGTATCAGGAGGCCAACCATGTTCTACAACTTGTCTGCTTTTCCAAGGGAGGTAATAAATGAATCGAGGCCCTTAGATGCTATGATATTATGTGATTTTTTTTTTGTTTGTTTTGCTTTGTTATGGTGTTCACAGATCTAGAATAAAAATTTCCTAGAAGTCTTTGATAATAGGAAGGAGTAGTGTACCGAAACTCATTAAAAATGAAGGAATTTTTATGCCTGAACCCAAATGGCTACTGAAAAAATATACCCGAATGAAATTACACAGTAGCTTTTTAACAAAAATAAAGAGTTGACATAAAAGTTATTCACACCTGTGTGTTTTGGATCAGGACTGACAAATTTCGTGCATGTGTTTAAAATGGACTTGTTCCTTTTTTCCATGTGATCCTTTAAGGAACACTTACACATTCTCTTTGAACCCTTTTGCTTCACCTGTGAAACTCTCTCCTAAGATTGTGTGAACCATCACTGATTTCTGGGGGGTGAGGGAATAACCCAAGGACTGTGTTTTAAGTAATGACTCTTACACAGTAGAGAACTAGAAACATGCACAGAGTATACGTGCAAGGTAACTGATAGGTCTTAGTTTCTGTGTTTGTAAGGCAGCGTTAAGACGACAAGTGTGTGATTCATTAAAGGCTGTCGAGTGAGTCAGTGTCAGAGACAGTATTTATATAAAAACTAGAGTTGTGTATTGTTTAATAAATAGCAATAGCTGATCTCAAAGCTGTCTTTGTTCTGTCCCTTTCTGAACTCCAACATGTTTCTTCAAAGGAAGGCTTTGCCCCATTGAGCTTTTGCCAATGTCAATAGCAGCTGAATCCCAAACTCACTGCATTCCTTTGCAAATGCCCCCTCAAGCCTGTCCCTCTTTTCCAACATCTTGACAGGTCTGTGTAAAAACTGTTAAAATAATACTAATCACATGCAACACTTACAAAATTGGTAAATGAATTGTTAATCTTTATTGTCATTTTCACTTAACTAAGACTGAAATAACATGAAATGTGATATTCTCTGGTCTTTTTCCATCTCTGAGTGTTCCTGTTTGTGTGTGATGGATATCTGTTATTAGCTTATTTTCACGGGACTCTTGGCACTGGGAGTCAAGGAGGGGAGATGATTCTGGACAAAAGAAGATGCAACTTTACTTACATAGTTCATTTCCTTAATCAATCATGAATTAGAAGATCAGTTTACAGGCAGTGATAAGTGGATCTATAAGCACCTTCCTGGTGTCTCTGGTTTTTTTCTCTCTCTGGAGCTCACCTTTCTCCTCATCGCTGAAGATAATCACCTTTTTTCACACTGCTGCGAAGATGTTAAAACCCAGTAACAGCGGTCTCAGAGCACATGGAGCAGTGCTAAGTTTTACAATTATTTTAAAAAATTATTTAAAAATTTAATTAAAAATTTATTAAAAAATTATACCCCCCCCAACCTTTAACTTAAAATAAACCTTTCTAAATTTATAATGTAAAATTTAGATGGATCTTTCTTCATTAAACAGCGTTCTCTTAACTAGTGATTTTACAAGTCTAAAACAGGTGCAATGTGTCATGCAATTTATGGATCCTAATACCTGCCATAAAGTATTTTATGATGGCTGCATTCTGTGTTATTAGTAGCTGTCTTTTTCTGCAGCCATTGGTGTTTGATAATAGTCTTAAAACACCCAAAATTACTTACCTGCAAGCAACATTCCAGATAGTCCCTGTTGACAGTTTGAATAAGTTTAGTGCCCTTTTGTTGTACTTTACCTTCAAAACAAACTGATTGAACCATCAATAGCTCCTGAAAGCTGACAGAGGCATGTCATCTGGTCTAACCCTCTGATAGTAGGTTATCTGTGGGAGTTAACCTCCCTGCATTGTTAACTGAAATGTTTTATGTACTATGCAACTTTAGGATACTGCTGTGATAACCTTAGTAACTAAGTCATACATCACAGTAAAGAGATTTTGTGCAACAAATAACCCTGGATTAAATTTACAAGGGTTGAATTGATATTGTAAAGTGTTCATTCCAGGGCTTTGGTAATCCTTCCCTGTATTTTTTTATGGCAAACTTGTGTTACATTTAGATTGAAGCTGCATCTTCATATTTCTAGCTAAAATATATCCAGGAAGCCTGATGCTTTTCTTCAGCCATTTAATAAAAAAGTATCGTATTATTTTCATATAATATCGATTCTTTTTATCCCACATTTAGTAAAGGGAATACGAATAAATGGGATTCTATTTGGAATCCCCTTTTAAAAGAATTAATCACTGATATACCTTTGTTCTACTGGTGGGATAACCTTTATGGTACTTCCTTTTTAATATTTGCTCTCCTTAAGGAGTGCAAGTTTAAAAAAAAAAAAATCAACCCCAAACCTGTGACTTGTGGTGTAGTTTGCTGTTTGGTTTACGTGGGTGGGGCTTTTTGGTTTTGTTTTTGGAATTGGCAAGTACTGGTGCTAATTCTGTTTTTTGAAGTGCAGTCAGGATGGCTTAAAAATACAAAAATACATTTGTATCAAGGAATGCTATTATAATTTTAAGCTCTTTTGGAGTGATTGAGAGACTGACGTTAGGGCTGTGATCCAAAGTCAGCATAGATGACAGTGCTGTCTTAGTCTGTTGTCATTTTTGTTGCAGCCTGCTTTTCAATGGCATATTTCATTCCATCATTAAACATTTGCTGATTTTCTAATACTGATGTTTTCTTCACTTGAATATTCATCTTTTCTCACCTTACACTTAGTGGGTGTCTTTACTCATTTTTAGCTTCACTCTTCTTCACTCTTGACATATTGTTTCCTTCTGTACATGTCTTCATTTGAAAGAATCTGTTGTCATCAGAGCTTTTCTGCCAGTAACGCAAGATGGATAGCTTCTCCTCCACTGAAAGATAAGGGCCAGCAAAATGCCAGGGAGGACTGGAAGGGCAGCCAGGAAAGCTGGGAGGAGCCTGAGAACGTGTCAGTCCCTTAGATCTGGAGCTGTTGTTTAATAAATGGTCTTAGGACATGTTCTGGTTTGTAAAGTGACTCTCTCTTTTTCTTCTTCTAATATCATTGAAAATCTTAGATTGAGGATTCACATTTAAATTGTCTGAGCATTTCAGTACTGAGCTTTTTCAGTTCACTTGTTAACAATTTACGAAGCTGTTGCCTCAGAGGAGAGGTGTACTAGATGGAAAGGTTTCTTTGCAGCATTAAATTTTGCTTGGTTGTAGAAGGGGAGTCTTACAGTCTTTTTCACATGTTTATCTGGTCTTGAGAACAGTGTTATAAGATAACTCTTACCTTTTAAAACACATTTTTTGTGTGTTGTTGTTCTTCAAAATGTTATGTTATGCAGAGTTTTCTACTACTTCGATTTCTTCCTCCCGCTGTCAGAAGGGACTGGTATGAGGAGGAGGCTCTCTGACTGCCTGGAGTTTTATGCAAAGCGGCTAGGCATGGGGAACATTATCAATCACCTTTCTACCCCCTGCCAGGAAGAGTCTGGCACTTCCCTCACTTTGCAATGTCTGCTTCACATTTGGTTGACTAAATGTAAATAACGTGTACTTGAGGTGGTTAGATATTTTGATTTGCCATGGTTGCGTGCCTTACTTTGTTTCTGATCTGCCATGTTCTCTCCCTCTGCAAGCAAGGAGCCGGTGGTATTTTTTTGAGGCTAAAAAGCTGCTGTACTTTGAGTAAAAAGGATAAATAGAATATAGTACTGATGGATCCTAACAAGAACTTTGAGTTCTTAAAATATTTTTCATAAAAATAGTCTCTTCCTGTGTGCTTCTGCATTTAATCCTGAGCTGGGATCCATATGCCATAAGGACACCTTGTCTCTCTGGCAGGACCAAATTGGAATTTTCCTTCCAAATGATGCCTGTGTCAAAATGTAGTCCTGGAAAGCAACGACCAGGAATAACTCTCCATGCTTTCTCTTGACAAAGTTTTTTTTTAATGTTAAGAGTTTTGAACACTGACATACACTCCTTTCAAGACAAAGGATGGTGTTTTAGGATGTATGGTAGAAGACACACTCCTCCCTGATTTGCTGTTCGTGTGTCTCTAATGTTGCCGATTGTTGTGTTTTTAGGAAAATATAATAAAAATCTGAAGAAGTGTTGGCAAATGAATGTTTTCTGACAATTTTTTCAGAGAGGATAGCTGGCAGTTTCCCGTGTCTCAGATTGGTTTTCCCCTGCAATGTGGGACGGAATCTTTGGAATCACTCAAAAGTCCTTTTTCCAAACTGGCAGTTCAAAACAATTTCCAATTTATTCTATTTCTGGGTATACCTTATACCTCACTAACACCTACAGAGAACATACGTGCCCATGGTGATAATTTTCTTATCTGTTTGATCCACCCAGTGTTAAATTGTTATGGGCAGCTTACAACAAGCTTCGTTTGAGAGGGTAAAGTAAGTATAATAACTTTTTATATAAACTACGTTGCATGAAAAAGGTGAACGGAGAGAGGAAACAAAGGCTGTTGATGTTTATTGCTGTTATTTGTTAGTCATTTAGTCTGTGAGTATGTCTTTGTTTATTACTGGATTTTAACTGTGTGCATTTTGCTATCTGTCAGATATTTTGTCCTGCACAAATTGACAAACCTGAAATTTCTCGATACTCGGAAAGTAACCAGGAGGGAGAGAGAGGAAGCAGTGGTAAGAGGTGCCTTCATGAAAGTGGTTAAGCCCAAGGATGCTAAGGTAGGAGAGTAAATGGAAGAAGTAGCAACAATGTGATTCATTAACACTGTTTTAAAATAACTCCAGAAGCTTGGCTGCCTCCTTCGCTAAAGTAACAGACAAAACCTTTCAAATGAAAGGACTGGTAAATGTGGTCAGGTGAGGGCCAAAAGCCTTAGTAATTTTTCTGTGGTTTAATACCAACCTTTACTGTTAGATGTGGTTAGTGGACTGTGGTTATGTTACCATCTTTCTGGTTTCCAACCCCTGTTTTATGTAACAAAGTAACTAATATGTGTCACTGGGCTTAAAAGAATATTTTAACCCTGTCTAAAGATATGTAACAACTGTGTGATATGCTTTTGTGAAAGAATGCAATTCTTCTGACAAGTTGTCCCCTGCCTTGTATGTTAAACACAAATGTCTATCACAGAGCTCACACCTATGGTGTTTATTGGCTTTTAGTGGACCAGCTGATTCTAATTTTGTATGATGTTACCTAATGCGGTGTCCTGCTAATAAGCATTGACAAACATCAGAGAGACAGTTTCAGTAATCTGAGCTTTTGATACCACTTGCATCAACTCTGGGCATATTGCAGTACTGCTGGTACAAACGGAATGCGAATGTGAATTCTCCACTTTACCTTCTTTTTCCATTGGTGATCAATACACGATAACAGCTATCGGAGCTTCGGAGTGTTTTAGTGCTGCAGATCTTTCTTGAAACTCCAATCAAGTTTTCAGTCTACTTGCTTTCTGTTTGCTGTTTTGTTCCCTGAAATATACCATCAATAATTTATTGCGGATTTCCAATAATCATAGAATCATAGAATCGTCGAATATAATGCTGAATAATAATGTAGCAGTTATGGAAATGCACTGTTTGGTAGCATAACAGTGTCGCTAGATAAATGCATTATCACAAGTACAATTGCAGTGCATAACAAATTAATTCAGACTGATGCATTTATAACTACTAAAATGTTAACAGTTCTGATACAAGCATAGCTTTGATATATTGTTTACCACTGCCTTTAGTTATTTCAGCTTCATATATGTAATAAATGAAATAATTTATTTCTAAGCTGTTGTTGATATCTTATTCACAGCAAACCATCTTTGCTGAATCTGGCCAAATGCAACAGCTGAAATGTGTTAGATATAGCATATGTATGTTGTCTTCTTCTATAATTCTTCTTATCTGATCAGATTTTGGATCTGGTGAAGTGTTTTTCTTAATTTTATTAGCAATTAGATTTTTCATTTAAGAGTCTGCTCTTTGAATTTTAACCAACTCAATAGTGTAAGAGAAGAAAAAACGTGTCTGTTTCTTAAATCTGAAGTTTCTTTTCTGGATGAAACCTCTTTTTAAGTCAATAGCTAAGGGTAAATTACTTCACAAATGTAGGAATAACATCTTCACTTTTATATCTGTAATTGAACCTTTTGTATAGTTTTGAATTATTTACCCACTAAGTCTTATGATAAACATACATTTATTTCAGCAAATTTGCAGAAGGCTCAACTTTACAGTTGTTACTGCCATACTGAAGGTTTTTTTTTTTCTTTTTTATTAAATGGTTTGGTACAAATTGCTGATGGTAAAATCATTGTAAATGGTTTTCATGGCATGAATCAATGCTTCTTAAGGTGCTACAAAATTACCCTCATCATACAATATTATATACATATTACAGAAGTGGCTAATTTAAAATAAATATTAAATTGGGTGCAGAACAGCTATTATAAACCTCTTAAAATTGTTTTGAATTTCTGCTTGTTTCCTAGGATATTCATGCTTATAGTACGCATGTGTGCAAACTTTTTTGCCTGAGAACACTCATAGAGTCCTCTCTGCGTACATGTTTTCATCTGCAGATATGTATGTATATGGCTATTTATAGCAAGCAGCATTCCTCTATATAGCACAAAGATGATGTGCACAATAACTGTTCTTTAAAATTGTATCATATGTTATATATTGTGTACATAATATTTTTTTTATTCTTCAGTGTTCAGGTTTCCTGAACCTTGTGCTCTCTGTCTGTTCATCTGTTCCCTTCCCATATAGTTGTTGAGATTTTTGACCAGCTTCAGCCCAATTTAGCAGACAGCTAGTGGTAATATATTCTAAGCTTTCTGAAACTAGTTAGAGGGGAATACATCTTGATCCAAACTAAGAGGAAGACTGCAGCACATCCAGTATTGGTCATCAGAAAAACTCCTTAAGAAGTTGACCTAGTGATGTAAGACCCTGCTGATAGTGAACTTCCTAAGAATGTTTTTGTCCTTCCCCCTAAGGTAGTAGCCACTGTGTCAGCCTATGGTTGCCAGGAATGGAGTTGGAGCGATTAGTATTTATCTTGGTGGATGCCACATGGAAATGTTGTTCTGCCAGATGTAGTAACAACAGTGAGCCTGTCAGACTTGCTTTTTCAGAAAAAAAACCCCCAAAATCCTAAGTTAGGTGGGTTTTTTTTCCCCATTATGATAAGCAGGCGATGGTATGGCTTATTCAGCATAAAAAGCAGACTGATGATCTAAAGAGGCTGTGATGGGGGAGTTGTTTTCGTTTTAGTCTTGACATGAAATACTTGGGAGAGCAAAATACCCCACCAAGAAAAAAATACACAAAATGAGAATAAAAGCAAGAAATTTCCATCTGACTAGCTTGTGTTTACTCAAATGCAAAAGTATCTAGCAATCACCAGTCATCACTAAGTCATAAATATTTTATTTTGTATAAATTTTTTGACTTTCATTTTTCTCTATTTTTTCTTTTTTTTTAACAGAACACTGCACTTTCTTGTGCTTTGCTTCATTTCATCCTTTGTTTAAAATGCATCTGTTTGTGATATGACTGTTTTATGGAAAGATGCAGTCATTTATTAGAAAACAGTTTAATGTTACAATGCAGTGTTCCATCTCGCTATGTAAGTGAGCTAAACTTCATTATTCTGTGATGTTTATGTTTTCTTTTGTCAAAATATTGAACATTGTATCATGCCTGATTTTAATAAAGATTGGGTAAGCCTGGCTGGATAAGAGGCATTGAGCCAGATGAGGAAGCCTTGTTTAATGACCAGACCATGACCTCATTTCACTGGCATAAGTGTAGATCAAAGTGGAAGATGCCTGTCCAGTGTGAAGTGTGTTTCTGGGCATGACAGCACTTCACATCAGAAAGACAGCTCAAGAATACGACAGTCAAAATTGCTTAATTACGTCCCAGCTTTGTAATTATTCATCCCTGCTTCTACAAAGAGTACAGTTGTCATTTCTTGACATAATTATTTAAAACTGTACCCTTCTTTGGTTTATAGGTATATGAATTGTGCTTCCAACTGTTTAATCTTTAAAACTTAGAGATGCAAAACAGAATGTGATTTGAGAATGCATTGTAAGACTCCATATTTTTACATTGCATACGATATAAATAAACAAAATGAAATTATGATGTATCAAAGCACATAATAATTTCATATTTTAAAGGTCTATATTCATGATCATTTAATCTAGATGATAAAATGTGGATATAGCCATTATATCTAAAGTGTGTGGCTATGAATAGATACAAACTGTCGTAGGTCTCTCTAAATATAAATTTAATTGCTTAATACTGGGTCAATGCACTTGCCTTTATAAAATACATCTATTTCCCAGTATTTTGCAACCCCTCTGCCCAACAACTATCTTCTAGCTAACTGCATTTTTAAGGTTAACATCTTTATCAGTTTTATTTATAGTGGCAAAAGCAAGCAGTGTGCATTTGGTCACATGTAACAGTCTTGCAGCTTATAGGACCAAATCGTCAGCAGGTATGCAACTTTACCAAGAACGTCTTGTCCACTGGGTATAGAGGAAACTCTGTGCAACAAAAGATGGCAGTATAGGTGTTTTGAATTTTTTTCCCCCTCAGATGCATTGTTTTCATCACAAGTTATAATTATAAAACCTGACATAGCTTTTGTTCTCTAAGGAACAAAGATGGAGACACTTAAGCAGAAAGGCAAGTCTAATATCTGCATTTCATGTAACTAGTGTATGTGATTCTTGCTCACACCGTTACTTGGAGGGCAGAGGGAGATTATTTTATTATGATAGGAAGGGTAATTATTTAGACAGTACAACTTAAGAAATAAGGTGAGCTAAAAATCTACAGTGTTGCTTTCAGATCATTGTCAGTATTCTTGGTTTTAACCTCATAGGAAAAGCTCATTATCAAAGTGACCAATGCTGCTATATGCTTTTTCAAATTCTGTTAAAATCAGATGAGGCATAAGGAGTGATTTTAGTAATTTATGTCCTTAACTATTTAACAAGAATCATATTTTTCTTAAATAGAGATATCCTATCTGCTTCCAAGAATTTAGGCAAGGCATTGTTGCTAATGCATCTCATGGACCTTTTTCCCCCCTCGCAAAAATAGAAAAATGGGGCTGGTTTTAAAAACTAAGTAACAGGTGACAGATAAACCTTTGGAGAACATCTGCATTGCTCACAATTTTTTTCCTTTTACCAGCACCATTGTGCAGAGATCTTGGGTTACGAACTTACCGCATCGGAAGTAGATGTAGAGCAAAGGGCTTTTAAAGTGTAAAGAATCATTGTGTCAATGAACTGCTAGCTAGTAAGATACCTCTTTGAGAGGGCTTCTACATAATAGGGTTTCTTATCATCCAGATGTCAAGGTTTCACATACTAAAACAGAACAGCGTCATGAATTTAAGACTCCAACCTAGACTGTGATGCAGCAAATTGTATTGACTTCAAAGACATTGTAGCAGTCGTGCTACTGTTTGGCACACTGAAGTATCCATTTTGCTCACTGGAAAGTTTAAGTATTTTAAGCAAGAGTCCATAACATGATTGGCTCATAATCCCCTAATGACTCGTCAAAATTAGGAATAAAAAGTAATTGGAAAAAAGTGCCAGAATTTATATTTCTATGTATGAACACTTTGGCAGTTTAGAAGAAAACATTGCTGAGTAGGATCTGCCAAATACAAGAGCGGTACT